GTTTGATGGAGAGATGTGGCCATATACCCGTGCATCCTGCCTGGACCAACTTCCTCTCTTGGCAGCCCTTTGTCTCTGGACCAGGGGCAAAGGCTTTCCCCACTGCCTGATGCTGCTGCTTCTCACTCTGCTCACCTCACTCCCTAGCTGTTTGGGCTCACCTGTTTTACAGTAAAGAAATGGGTGCTTCAGGCTGTGCAGAGGCTGGTTCTGCCCACTGTGTATGAGCGCTTTACTGGCGGGGCGGGGTAACACAGATGTGGCTCTACTCCTGCTGGGGACGGAGATGGAGATGGAGATGGAGGAGGCCTTTGTAGTGGCAGGGGTGTGCGGTGCCTCACGGTGTTCCTGGCGCTGCTGCAAGTGGGGTGGGGCCGCCGGGGCTCTCCACACAGCTCCGGACTCCAACTCCCTTTTCCATTTTCTCGACATTTGGGGAGCTGGAGCATGGCTTTAGTTTCTCTTTCCGCAGTGCAGGCAGCATCCCGGAAGGGTGCAGGCTGAGCCAGCACGGCAATGCTGCTTCCAGGCACAGGCTGCTGCTGACACGGCTGGCCGGCCCAGCTCCAGCCAGAATGCTACACGCCTGCTTCTTCCCCTGCTCTTGCCCCTCCCCGCCGCCATCTGCTGGTGGTTTGGGCATCCCTCTGGGGAAGGGGATCACACAGGACCCCAAGCTCTTCTGTCTAACTGTTATAAATCCATATTGTGGTATTGGCTTTTCGCAAGTATTAAGATGAACATTATATGTTATATGCTTTTGCTATGTCTTTTTCTCCTGCTAGCAAGCTTAGGTATAGGTCGAAAAGAATTCTGAATGTTAGAGCGAGGTCCTGACTGTTACAAAACAAGATAACTTCCAGTGGACAAGATGATGGGGTCCAGACTGTTATCAGCACTGACCGCCTGCAGAGGAAGGAACCCCAGCCCAAATAAAATTATGAAAAGAAGGAATCAAGCTTCTACGATACATGCTCTAAAAAGATGGCTCCAAGGAGTGGCTATGCAAACTAGTTCTTGGAAAAGAATGCATTAAACTTCTACAGCAAAAATAAATAAAAGGAACATTCCAAAGACACCAGGTGTGGTCTTGGCAGAGAGACAGGCACCTGACCCTTTTTTACCTTTTGATTTCTCTCCTAATGGTCTTTTTGTTTATATTAAACCTTTTATAATTTATAAAGCGAGTGATCCTCATTTTTCACATCCCCCACCTCCCCTGTTCCTCCGGCTGTGAAGACCTTTACCCCTGCTGGTCCTGGTGGCTGTGCCTTGCTCATGGCCTGCTCTGCTGGCTCCTGTGGAGACTGGCACAGGAGTCCTCCCTTCCCAACTCTGTGGCATCAAACATCCTGTTGGAGCACCACTTGGATTCACGGGCATTCCAAAACATATTTGTTTCTTTCCTAAGTTGCCAGTCAAACCTCTTGCTTACCTCATTGATGTCTTACATCCTATGCATGTCTTTTTGTCTAGTTCAATTTCTGAAGAGCAACTTTTAAACTTCTGCATACTGGAGGGAAGTAGGGAAGTGGAGTCTAACCCCACCAATTTTTTGTTTGTTTCTTTTTTTACTTCCTCTTCTTCAGTTGTGAAAGTACAATGCAGGGTGCTCTCTTTGCATGCTGAAGTGTGGCTACTATTTAAACCTTTATGTATCTGTCCTTTAATTTTCTTGTATCAGGCTACTTCCTATTAGTGTAGCTCTGTATTTTGAATTAAAAACTGTTGGGTGATTGGGCTGATTGCAGGTTTTTGTTTGTAATTTGTTTCTGCAAAAGCATCCACATATGGTGGGTTTAGTGCTAGCTAAAATCACCAGTGTACCTACTACAAGAATGTACTCATTTCCTGCTGCGAGATACAAATCTCGGAGGAAGGCAAAAGAGGCTCAGAACTTAAAAGGTATGAAGAAAACTATTAACAAAATTAAAGAATAATAAGAATCAAATTATACCTTCTCCTTCCCTCCCCACAGTCTCCTTGCTTTTCTACAGACAACGTAGAGAAAAAACCAAGGATTTTCAATCAGTTACTACTCTACAATAGTCTTTCATCAGTTCCTATATAGAGGGAAGTTTCTCTTTCCATGCCATAGAGACTTCTCCACAAGAAAGAGTTATCCTGTGTCTTCAACTTCACAGTTGTAAAAAACATGGACCATTCTCCTAATAAACAACAGGAGACAAAGATAATAAAGCAAAGGGTTAAAATGGCTGGGTGCTTGGCTCTCTGCCAAGAACACACATGGTGTCTTAGAAACACCCTTTATTTATTGTGCCACTTGGACTTTCATGCATATGTAAATTTTTCCAGGAAATTTTTTGCATAGCCACTCCTTAGATCCGCCTTTTTAGAGGATGCTTATTTCTTAGTTTTGTGGTTTTAGCTTCTCTCTTATTATCTTTTCATTTGGGCCTAGGCTTCTTCTTTCACAGGCAGTAAACATTGACAGCAGTGTTGAGTAGCCTGGGCCTCATTCTTCTGTTCACTGGAGGTTATCTTTCCTGTTGAAGTAAGACCTAAATCTAACATCCAAAATTCTTCTGACCTATGCCTAAATTCTAGCTAATAGCAGGAGAAAAAGAAAATTACATAGCAAAAGCTGTTCTAACATTATACATATAACATTCATCTTAATACGTGCAAAAAGCCAATAGCACAATATATATTTATTACACAGTCAACCCGTCGCCCAAGGAAAGGAAAGTCTGTTTGCAGTATCAAAGTCCCTCCCATGCCTTGCAGCTTTCCCAAACTGCTTTCATGGGCCATGTCACCTTTTGGGGTACTATTTCAAGGATGAGCTGCTCTATCATAAAAAACCAAAAGTTCTTTTANCCAACCTGACCATCCTTACTGCAGGAACAGCTCTGCAAGGCCCTATCCTATCATCCTCACGGTGATTTCAGCTCCAGCCACGCAGTTCGCATCCCAGCTCCATATTCCTTATCCCAGCCCCACAACAGTTTTACCCTAAACCCTACCATGTTTCTGTCTGCTCCAGCTCTGCTTCCTCAGTTCCAGCTCCTCAGCTTCCCACTATTGGTGGCTGAAAGCTGCTCCTGCTTCTCACTGCAACCCGGGGCTGTTGATAAGGCCACAAGTCAGTTATTATTATCACTTCAATGTCTCTAGATATTGTCCTACCCACGCTAATGGGAGCCCAACTTTGGGGCCACTTGAGGCCTCAAGCCCTACAGGTACCTTCCCCTTCCCCCTGGGTCTCAGCCCAGCACTTGCCCAAAGGTCCCCCCCTCACCCCCCCCAGGCAGAACCAGGGGCTGGGAATAGCCATTGGGCCCCTGCTCCCCCATTCCAAAAGGTGCCCTTGGGGCCTCCCAGCCCCCAGACCCTCAGACTCTCCTTGGTACCAGCACATAGATATAATGCACAATAGATATAAAAATACATTAACATCTATCCGTATATTTTTCATATTGAATATTAATCTACTTGTCTAGATTTAGATTACTTGTATTTATTTTTTTATGTCTATATATATATATATATTTGTATATCTCCCTATATTTGTATCATTATTATAGATGAATTGAATGAGAACAGACAGCAAAACTGCTTTGAGGCCATTTGGGCACACAATTCTCTTTCTGCAGTCTGAACTTTCTTCTGTGTTCTGCCTGAAATTCTGAGTTCCTTATAGTACTCTGCCCCAGTCCTTCCCTCTCCTCTCAGTGCTGCCCTAAAGTGATGAAAATTATGCAATTTATTGTCAGAAAGAATTGTGTACCTCATAGAAGGCAAATGCTTTTATTCCAGGTATGCTGGGGGAGCAGGGGGAACCCATAAAGGATATGGTCTTCCATTACTGGGTGTAATTTAGACTAAGAATTAAAAACGTAACACCAGGTGAAAAGACAGTACTAATACTGTGGGAAAAACCAGAACCATCTTGCAGTCAGAAAAATTAGAACAGCTGAGGTTACAGATTATTGATGCCCATCATTTTTTCAGGGTGTGGAACAACTGGCTTCGTACTTTCTCTTCAGGGCTTGCAAACACGTCAGGGTCCAGCTGAGAATTTCTGGTGGTCTGAACCAGTCTCACTGCTAACTGGCATGCAGCTCTCTGTTCCATCATCTCAGGAGTGCTTTTCTGCCTGTGCTGTTCTTAAAAACAGCCATACATTAAAATAGGAAATAAATGATGGTCTATTATAAAAATACTAGCATTAGCTATTTTCCAGCCCCATTTTGATCTTACAGTTCTTGGTTTGCATACAAAAGTGACGTCCAATATTCCTTTACCCTAAGGACCATTTTGTGCTGTCAGCTAACAGTGACTTCCAATATAATCTTTCACAACTGATTGCATAAATACAAAGTTTAATGAAATCTGTTTTTCATTAAAACACAGGCAGTGCTTATCCTGTATCCTTTCAGAAACTGAAAATACATTTGAGCTGTATAAAAACTGTGAAATACAGCATTATAATTTTCTACTACATGCCAAAATTTGTTTTGCAATACGATTGCCTTTGCATCCAAAATTATGGATGGTGGTAGAGAGGACACTTCTGCAGTTTTTTATTTATTTTTTATATTTTTATATTTTATATTTTTTATTTATAAATATATAAAACACAAACCAGGATTTTTTATGTCATTTTTATCCTTACCTTCCATTTTATGTCTTCCAGAATTAACTTTGCCTGTTTTTGTAAGGGGTACAGATTTGATTTTTATTAAAATAATTTTGGTATGTTTTCTCTTTGTGTGTGTGTTTTTGTGTTTCTTTTGGGGGGATTTCGGTTTGGTTTTGGGTTTTTTTTGTTTTCTTGTTTGCTTTGTTTTCCATTTTTTTTTTTGATTAATAAACAGTAAGGTTTGGAGGGTTACAAAATAAAATGTCTACTTTGTTTTAATGCTATCTCTGAAATACACCTCAACATCAAGTTACTGCTGGTAACATTGTCAGTGGGTAGAATGAGACATAGTAGGGAGTTAAAAGGAAAAAAATGGCACCATGATGTCAACAGCTTTCTTGGCTCCGTTTTTTAATTTGGCAGAAAATATAGAGGTTTTGCTAAGCACACTCTCAATTATACCCAGACATCCAGGTGGATATGGATGTCATTTTTCAACTTCTTTGTTGCCAACAGCTAAACATCCAGATCCTCAGGGTAAGAAAGAGATGGAAATACTTTTTCCTGCTCCAACATGATTTTTTAACTTTTTCCTTTGTTTGTACCTTTGGAAAGTCTGTGGCACATTGGGTGGCTCAATATGGCAGGTTTAAAAATGAAAAAGGGCCGTGAAAAGCCCTTGGACCCTTTCTTAGAACGTGAATTTGCTCAAGGTAAAGCCAAGACACAAACACTGATTTCCCAAACATCTCCTGTTCTCAGAGCTAACTCTCTAAATGTACAATTCTTTGGAGTTAGTGGTGGTGAAGCATCTAATATGGAGCACGTGCTGCCCAAGTTAAACAACCTTATTCTGAAATTCTGATCAAGAAAAGTTTTTAAGTCCTGTTACTTGAAGATTAAGTGGAATATTTTCTAGTCTTTGGTTGCGAATACCTTACAAAAGTCACGTGTAGCTAATTACCTTTTGATTAAACGTTAATTAAATCAAGGAATCAACATCCAAATCTAGTATTTGGAAACATATGGATTTCTTTAAATCTCTCTCATTCACTCTTTTCTTTACTGACCTGTAATTAATCAATCTGTACAATCTACACTACAATTTAGTCTAAAAGAGAATGAAATCCACTTTTCAGAGAACATTGATGCTTTTGTAGACCCACTCATAACTGTCTTAGCCTAATAGACCATAAACTTCCTCTCCTGGTTTATAGAATCTCAATTCCTTTTTGCTGATCAAAAAGGGCCAACCTGCTGTTAACCAGTCACATCACAGCTTATGGCAGAAACATCTTTAAGTCTCTCCAGAGCATTCATTCCCTTCCCTAAGTGCAGATGAAATGAACTCGAGTAGCTCATGCTCAGAATTACTAACTCATTCAGACAGACATGAATCAAGGAGGTACCAACATCAGTAAGATGTTTTTTCTTTTTTATGAAATGTCACATAAGTTCTTCATACTACCCGAAACCACTGTCTCTCTACATGGTTACTTAAAACATGCAATTTATTTGGAACAAATTATAGCTCTGCAGATCTCTGTATCTCTCTCTTTGAGAGAGACACAAACTCAAGACAAACCTGTCATCAGAAAAAAATACTGTTAGGTGCCTAATAACTGAAATAGTATCTGGTGTAACTTCTGCCGACTGTAAGTCAGGGTGGAATCCGTTGCCGTAGTTCTTTTCCTCTGTGTATCCTTTAGGAAGTGTCGAAGTGTAAGCAATTTTCTCCCTATTTCCAGCACTGCTTCTCACATGTTGCACTTCAAAATGGTAGTTTTCCAAGCTGGGATATAAAGTGTTTGTATGACAGTTCCAGGACATGTGTAGCAATCACTGTAAACACCTAAACAAGGAAACAAGAAAATTTATTTTGGCAATGATCCAGAAACAAATTATAATAGATAAGAAAAATTAAATCATCTCACAGATGTCCAGGTTTTCCTCCAAAACACTGAAAAGCTGTCTTTACATTATTAAAGCAAACAAAAACCCTTAAGAGACATGTTCTACCACAAGCAAGTACATCTTTTCCAACCGGGGATTCTCCTGCTCATTTCCCAGTAGAAGGAAAACAATACCAGAAACAAAAGAAAATCCACAATGCTTACAAAATCTGACTGGTGTGGATTGGAACGATTGCCAAATGGTTGCTTCATTCTCTCAAGGAATTCTTTATCATAAGTACAAGCGATGGAAAGCATCTGTGCTTTTCAAACCAAAAAACCCCACAAAAATAATCTGAATAAACTCTGAGGAGAAGCCTGCACACTCAAAAGGTTTGTAACAGCCACCTGAGGTTGATCACATACCTAATAATAGAGGCAAAACCTGCAATCCATCTAAAGTTATCTTCCACTTTTCTAAACAAGTGTCTAACCTCTGTGACCAATTCTGGCAGAAGGTTCTGCATTGGGTTATGGTGCTCCAAAGAGCCAGGGCATGCAGCTGTGCTTCTCTGAGGATAGATGGAGGAGGCTTCCAGACACACAGATGGGGATGTCACTTTCCAATGGCAGATGCAAAACCTTACAGTGGCCTCTGTCAGCAACATAAGTGTTGGTAGAAGAAAATGGACTACAAAGTACCTGATAATATTTTATTTAGATAGAACGTTATTCCGGAAGTGAAAACATTTTAACTTCATCATTATTTTTAACCAGAAAAATAAAATGTGCTGCAGAAGATTAGTATTGTACACTCTTACTCACCAGTCTGTGCCATAACTTGACAGACAGTCATCTTTTTCAGGGATGTTGATTTCCCACTCATATTTGGCCCTGTAATAACAGCAGAATTGTTGCCCTCTGTCAGGTACGTGTTGTTAGACACAGGTTTTTCCATGGCCATCTTTGCAAGAATGGGGTGCCATCCCTGCTTGATTGATAAATCCTGAAAAAATTACATGGGAAAAAAAGATCTAAAACACTTAGTAGTTAATGTGGGAACCTTTACATTATTAAACTGGTATGCTTTGAAGTAAAGCTAATTTTTCCAGACCACAGCTCTTGGGAAGAGTTACCAGAAAATTTCAGGTACAGATTCTGATAACCATACAAGCCTTCATGATTTATCACTACAAAAAGAAACCCATAACTAAAATTTTATTTCTAAAGTAACATTCTGTGGTTTTGTTCTCCAGTAAGTAGGGCTGGACCCCAGTAACAAAAATGCAAAGATCTGAAGTATTTTTTATAAAGTACAAGGGCTGTGGACTCCTGTTACTCCTACCTATGCACCCTGTATTTGCACGGTAAACAAGAAAGCAGCATTCCTTTTATTTCTGTTATAGGTATTGTTTATTTGGCAATATGGCATGCCTACAAAGATCCACTCGATGCTGGAACTACCACTATGGATTTCTGTCAGAACAGCTCTTTTCTGAACCGATTACACGAGGCTCCTCTTCATCTACCGGCATTAATGGAACGGAAAAAAGCATAAACAGAGAATGTCCATACACTTCAAGCTTTTGAACAGAAAATGCTTAAACTGTCTGTTCTGAGAAGAGTGACTGGAAAAGCTTATGGCAGCCAACTAGCAGGATTTAATTTCTATGAAGGGAAGCAGAAAGAACATCAGCATAAAACTGGCACAGGCAGAGCAGAGATAGTCACCTGAAGACCAGTGAGACACAGAAGCAGAAATGGAAGCAGACAAAAACAGCCTAGCTATTCTCCATCACAAAGCTCTGTATCTGGCCCATAACAGAATCAAAGAAGAAACCTACCATAATCAGAAAGAATGCAGCTGTGGGCAAATGAAAGCAGCATAGACACAGTGGCACAGGTGAAAACTGGCTAATTACCTAATTAATTACCCAATTAAGTAATAAGTAACTAATTAGCTGTCCAAGTAGTTAGCTGTCTAATTTAATTAGTGCTCCAGATGGGAGTAGTGATGGAATGGTGAATCAAGTTCATTATTAGTTACTCCCATCTGGAGCACTAACTATGGGCCCTATATACTATATATAAAAAGAAGAAAAAAAAATATGTATCTAGTGTAGTAAAAACTTTCAGGCTTCTGGGGAGTAAATATTTTTCTTTAAATCAATATTTTAAAAGTTTGGTTTTTTTTTTTTGCTTTCTAGGAGTCTGAAACTTTGTACTGCTGCTTTTTTATTTTACAGCTAGAAAGGAAAACTAAGTTAGAAAAAGAGTTGGAGAGGAAAAGCAAGAGAGTTAAGAGAGAAAGAAACCAGAGTTAAAGTATAGACAGATAAAGAAAGAGAGAAAAAGAGAGATATATTTAGAAAGAAATAGAAATAGGGAATAGAGAAACAGAGACAGAGAGATACAGTTAGAAACAGTGAGAAACAGAAATGCAGAGACAGAACTAGAGAGAAATCAAATTAGAAACAGAAAAGTGAAATGAGGAATAAACTGAAAAGTGAAGTGAGAAGCAAAGCAAGACATACAGTGAAAAAATGACTAAACCACACCAAAGAATGGAGCTAAAAGCTTAAAAAAAATAGCCACCTTATTAGACAAGTACCGTTTAATAATGTGGTAAATTATTACGCTATACCATATGAACCTTTCTGACGTGATGATAATTTATACATTTAACCCAGTTCAATACCTCTCTGCTACTGTCAATTGCAATAAAGTTTCTGCAAGAGGAGCGGTGGCGGGATTAAATTGAGAGCGAAGCATTAGCACCATCTGGTGGTCTCGGCAAGGCTTTGTAGCACTCCTGGCATCGCTCTGGGAGTCATGGCAAGTACCTTCAAAGGCAGACGAAGCAGGATAACTATTTTTATTTTTTCCCAGTTGGAAACTTGTTTTGCAGAAAAAGGAAGTCTTTAGTCCTACTGCTCTTTATTTCAACCTAATTGTTACTTGAGGCATGAGTTAACTGGTTCATGTAGCAATGGCAAACACATCTCATGCTAGAAATGGAGTAGTGCTGTGGGTTGGTGAGTGTTTGTACTTCGGGTTTTTTGCCTTTTTGATGTGTCATTAAAATACCTTTGCGGGAAAAGAAGGTTAAAAATAGGAAACTGCAATGCTGTTGTGTTTTGGACAAAGAGTAAGGTTATCTTGGGAAAAAGAAATGTAAACACAGTTCTAGCAATACAGCTATAAGAACAAATTCTTTTTTTTTTTCATGAGAAAATGGTTGCAAAATTATGATGCCCTTGTATGTGATGGGTGAAGTCAGTGTGGCCATTGGACTATCTGGGATAGCTTTTTTTGTTTATTTCCAAGCTATTTTTGTGGTTTTCCTCTTGCATACTACGTCACTCTGTACAACCCAAACTCTGCTGAATTAAAACTATTGTAAGGTCTTCTAATAGCTGCTTTCATTTTGCACTGAATTGAAATGACACAATTTGCATTTAGGACTACCTCTTGACCTGCTACCTCCCAGCAGGAAAAAAAAACCCCAAAAAAGCAAACTTCTAGATCTGGGCAGACTCGGAGTCTGTGGGAAAGATGCTTCCAGAGGAATGGTTCAGCCCAGACTGGTGTCTCATCATTCAGGGATTTGCTGACTGGAGAGGCGATTGGCATTGTCCTGTGGGCTTTGGGGAAGTGTTGCCTCTGTGGGGAAGCACCAAAGTCGCTGGGTTTTCATCAGCTCTCTCCATCACCTTATTTCCTTTCACCTGTGCAGAGGGTCATTAGGGAGGGATGTGGGTGATACTGGGAAGCCGTGTCACAGCTTTGCCTGTCGTCTTTAACCCTGTCACTGTCTTCCTGTACTTGGAGACTGAGGAGGAAAAGGGTGAGCAGGAGCAGCTCAGCTCAGCGGTGAAACTGAGGAGGATGACGAGCGAGAGGAAGAAACCTAGAGCCGTAGAGAGAACAGGCACCTTGAGCTTGTTCTTGCCATTGCGCTACTGATGGTGTCAATGTCAGTCTGAAGGGGCTGCTAAGTGCTCTACTGAGCGCTGATACCGAGGTGGAGAATGTTTGTATTTGATCAGGAAACAAAAGACTCGGAGGACTTGAACTTTCCTTAAAGAGGATCCTGCCGTTCTAAGCCATGCTTTGATTATCACAGCCTAGATGAGATTATTTTAAGCTTGTCTGAAAATGGACGGGAGCACAGAATTCAGCAGCCTGTGCAGTGATACATCTGGCCAGATGTTTCCAAGCTTCATATTGACAAATAGTGATTTTCTCTTTGAGGTAAGCACTGACTTTGCAGCTGTGCACCCTGAGGCTGCTGCCTGCCCGAGGCTGCTCCAGCCTGAGCTGCAGATAGCATTCAGCATCTCTCTGAAGATCCTGTCACATTGTGAAATCATTCCCCATTCAGCACAGGGATGCCCAGTTAAATTTCCCTATATGGTACCTTGGAAAAGCTCTGTTCAAACTTCTTTGAAGGGTGGTTTTGTGAGGATTTGAACAGTTGTGATTTTACCTTACCTGCAGTCAATTGAGGAAAACCTTTAGAGTAATTGCTGGAAATCTTTAAGACTACATTTCAATTAAAGACTACTGATAACTTATATTTATAAGTTGGCTCTGACAGGGCTGCCACATGTTCATGCATTCTCCTAGCTGGAGCCAGCTTGTAAGTGCCAAATAAATTTGGCTATATCGGACCCCCGAACTCATCCAGCCTAGAAGCGGAACAAGTGCCTGGATGGGGCAGGGATGGGTTGGATTCACACCCAAACAGGGACCTCAGTCAATCATATTCAATCCAGAAAGCAGACACGGCACTGGCCAAGGAGCTGGGGCGGTGTAAAGACCCAGACCAATGGGTTGTCTGAGGCCAGGAGTTTGAAACCCCCTATATAAACAAGCTTCCATAAAAAAACGTGGCTGTTTGTCTCATGATCAAGAGGACTCGAGTTGTGATTTCTGTCTCCAACCCATGACCGCCCCTAACAATGCATGACTCAGCTGTGTATTCTGAAAGTACAAAACTTTCATGCTTTGTTCAAAACAGAAATGCTGGCTTGGGTGTCTACTCCATCTCTTGCACATTTGGGGGTATTTTGGCTCCATTTGTGCCATCTGTGGTAAGATTATTTTTGAGTTTATTTAACTCAGATTCCTTCAATTGGTCTCAAAAGCACTTTGCTGATTTTGGTACAACATATGCCCATATTCCTAAAAATAGAAGTTGGTTTTATGATAGGTTAAATAATGTTCACTCAATTTCGGAGGTAACGAACATGACTTTAAAAATATATAGTATTTTATTGGTTTTTGAAACCGAAGTCTACTATTCTGTGTCACATTTTCATTCATGTGTTAGTGAAATGATTGTCATGTAATGCAGTTGGTACTGCTAAGGCTTACTCAGTATCTGAATTCTTAGACATGTAAAAAAAGTTGTCAAATGAAGGTGTTTCTGTGAAGTGGTATTTTTTGGGTTTCTTTCTTTGCTCTACCAGTATATGGAAAATGGCACAAACTGCTGGAGTGACAAGTTTTAGTATTTTTGTTTTGACTACAGTCTGTGTGTTTTAACAGCAGGAAAGAGCTCTGTGCTTTTACTATGTATTTTGCATTTTACAAGTCTCTTAGTGCTTCTGTACCACTCGTGGTGTTTGCAATCAGTGGACAGTTGGCAGGAATCCTTCTGGCAGAAACAATAAATAAGCTGATCACTGATAGCACTGAAGACCTGCAGAGTCACAGACACCAAGTGCTCAAAAATAAAGAGGCAGAGTAATTTTTTTTTACTGTACTTTTGAATTATTGTCCCCTGTATCATGTGCAAGCCACAGCTGTCTGTGTCTTGATGAGATTGTGCATTAGTGAAGATGTGCAGGAAGTTTTTAAAGCTGTCTTTCTCCTGTGTTTAATGGAGATCAAAATTATTCCTTGGCTCTTTCAGGATGAAAAGGCTAACAGCAATCACCTGTAGGCATTAAATTAGATACAAATAAATACTGTTCTGTTTCTTTATGAATAAATCTGAAATAACCAAGGAGAATATATCCAGCAACATTCCTGTGCTTTTTCAGTAAAACAATTAGGGATATTTTTCATGTATTGGTTTGTGCCTTTTTATCATGTTTATAGTAGAACATAATCTACTCTTAATAGATATTGGAAGAAGTCTTTTATTCTTCATCAGTCTCCTGGGTTGAAGCCATTTCAAGTGTTTTTCTGTTGTTGACATGCACTAAATTAAACTTCTGAAGAGGGAAGTGAAATTTGTGTTTGAGTCAATAGATAATAGAATAGAAAATGTTAAGTATGTCCTGTAGGTTTGGGAGTGGTTTCCCAGAAGAATTTGTTTTAAAAGGGAGGAACAGAGAAGATTTGGAATTGCTAGCCTAGAATTCAGCAGGCATAGTGTAGAAATAAAAAATAGGTGGTTTTCTTATGTTTTTCTCCTGATGTGCCATCTTATTAATTATCTGGTAATCATTGTACTTAATCAGTTTAATCATATTACACACACTACTCTGCTCTCTTTATGCCTAATACAGAGTAATGCTGCATTTATCTGAAGTAGAAAAAAACCCCCATAGCTTCTTCAAATACCATTTAATTTCTAACTTTTTAAAGAATTAATGAATTCTGATTTTCACATTTAATATTAGGCTATAAAATAGGACAAGAAAAATATGACAATATGTAAATAGCTTTTCAGTAATTACTTCTCTTCTGACAGGCAAACCAGTTAGAAGAAAATACCTGAGGATGAGGCCTGTCTGGAGAATGAAACCTGCAGTGGGAAGCTGAAGGGCAGAGTCTTGGCCCAGATGTGTGACGGGAAGCACTTGAAGACTCATGGATAATGCTGTTTGTAGCATGCTCAACAGTTTTTTATGTGGAGGCAAATGGAAAAGATGGAGTAAGTTGATCAAAGCTTGTGAGAAAAGAGCTGACAAATCTATGCATTAATTTAATGACTTAACAAAAGCACACTTCAGAGGTTTGGACTTCTCTGCAGTTTCTTGAAGCGAGGTATTAATTTATTTTACAAAATGTAATTGCTAGCTTCAGATGAAGCTATAATGTTGAATGTATAATTGATGTGTACAATTTAAAATTTAGATGCCTTTATATATTCTGTCAAGCTGGAGTTGTGAAATGGAACACTGTCCTGTATATGCTGATTTTCTCTACAGTTTTTTTGCCTCAAAATTACAGTATATGCCTCATGCTGTGAAGAGACCAAAGATTTGTATGGGTTGTTGACCTTACTATGTCTAGCATAAGAAACCTGAGCAGGAGATAATTGGAAAAAGTGCCAGGACTTGAAAAGGTACATTTAAAGGAGACAATGAGTAACCTTTCAGAGAAAGGTTATTCAGTTCTGGATGTACATCTGGAATGAGAAAGAATTGAACATGGATTATATATTGTATAATATACGTAGTGATGTATAATGCAATATATTTCACATGATCAATTGGGAGTTCTTCCTGGGAGGGGAACAGCGATTGACTTACAGTTAATGTTGGAGTAGGTGCATCACAAAGGTTACAAGTGTTGTGATGGCCAACACCATTTCATTTTAAAAACCCCCAATTTTAACATCTGTGTTATAAATACTGTTTATTTCCGGGATGTTTTTTGTGATAGATAGAAACTCTTTTGTTCGCCTAAATATATAGATATGATAGAATGCTTTGCGAAATTGTACTTTGGATATAAAGTTGAGAAAGGGGTTTGAAGGCCACTAACTCGCTGAAGTTGGCATAATTAATAACAGCCTAGCAGAAATCCCTGGAACACTAGGACAAGATAAACTTGGAGAGAGAAACAGTGAGAAAAGGTCAATGGAACAGGAGTGAGGAAGACT